CACCGCACAACCACCACACCGATTTCGACCCCCTTTCCACCAATTTCCGACCTCAAAACCCTAGCCACCACCTAATCACTACGACCAACGACCCCACCACCTAACCGCTAACACCGCATCGCACCACACCCAGCCACATCCCCCACACCGGATTTCGACCCCCTTTCACCAATTTCCGACCTCAAAACCCTAGCCACCAAATTCCGACCACCCATATAGCCCCCCTAATTCCGGCAACTCTTAAAACCCTAGCCACCACCAAATTCCGCACTCCTAAAACCCTAACCACCACCTAATTCCGATCACCTCCCTAGGTTACACCAAATTCCGACCCCTCCCTTGCCCCCACACGAAATTCCGACCAACCATGGTGTGTTAAAATCGTTGCTGGCTGGGTTGATATGGAAATCGGGGAAGATGAAGAAGAACCGTCAAAAAGGTGGGCCCTACTAACGGATTCATGGACGGAATCCGTTAGTTGGTGGTAAAATCGAATTTTTTGAAATTTTGGTGGTGGTAAAGTAAATCTTTTTTTTTTGGAGGTGGTAAATTCAATTAAGTGGTTATTTGAAGGTGGTAAAAGTCAAAATTCCCTTATTTTTATGTTTTTTATGGGGTAACTTTTATGCAGAAAAGGGTAACTTTTATTTATAGAAAGGGTAACTTTTATTTATAGAAAGGGTAACTTTTAAGCAAGAAAAAGGTAGATTTTATTGTTAGAAATGGTAATTTTAGCAATGAAAAGGGTCACTTTTATGTAGAAAAAGGGTCACTTCTATTCATGAAAAGGGACACTTTTTTCTGTAAATTAAAAGGGTCAGGGGTTTTATGCATGAAAAGGATAACTTTTAGTGATAAAAAGGGTAACTTTTATTAACAGAAAGGGTAACTATTAGAAAAGAAAAGGTTGATTTAGTGGATAGAAAGGATAAAAAGGGTTACTTTTGTGGGTGGAAATAATAAGTTTATACATGATAAGGTATACTTTTGTGGGTAGATAGTGTAACTTTTATGCATGAAAAGGGTAACTTTTATTGATAAAAGGGTTAACTTTTATTAACAGAAAGGGTAACTATTGCCAAAGAAAAGGTTGATTTAGTGGATATAAAGGATAACTTTTATGCATGAAAAGGGTCACTTTTATGCATGAAAAGGGTTACTTTATGCATGAAAAGGGTTACTTTTATACGTTAAAAGGGTAACATAAGTTGATGTGTTCCAATAATTAAACATGTGCTAATAAAAGTGTCAATCACATTTTCATTAAACTAGTCATAGAGTAAAAAAACAAAAGAAAAATAGTTTAACAATACAAGGTATATTAATTTCGAAAAAAAAATGTTCTAAAAAAGATCTTAAAAGAGTCGTAAGTTAGGTGTCTTTGATCAAATTCTGAATTTGGAGGTGGCAGTGCTGGTTTTCTTTTTCTCTTGCTTTTTTCAAGTCCTCCTTTTGCTCTCTTGCTTCTTCCTTTTGTTACAGCCCTTTTAGGATCAAGAATTATTGGTACACATGTGCTTGTACTCGATGCTGAAGAAGCGTCAGTATTGCTTTGAGTGTTGTCTGCCACATCAGGAATGTTAGAAGCAGCTTCTGCACTTTCTTTCTGAGCAGCACTAGCAAGTAAGTCTTCCACCATTTTAAGACTGTTTCTGAAGCTTTCTTCCATAAATGCTCTTGTATCTTCATTTTCTTGACTTTTTAAGATTAGATTGTAGTATTTCCTCATCAGTGTTTGCCTCCATGGAATATATTGCTGTTTAGGATCCTGATTCTTCAACCTATCCCATGCCTCTGTTTTTGCAAACTTAGTCCATCTTTTTGAAACATACTTGTCTGGTATTCTTGTTACTGAATGAAAATGTAGAATTCTGATGCAATGATAACATAACCATCCAGATGTTCAAAGTTTTTGCAAGTACACCATACAGTTTGGCTCTTTTGTATATAGTTTACTTGATGTGCAGACCATGGCTTGTCTTCTAGTGTTACTTGATAAAGTAGGCATTCTTCATTACTGCCTAACATCTGAACAGTTGTTGCCATAGAGTATCCAAACTCCTCTTCAAAATTTCTAAAGAGTGATAAAGTGAAAACCTGTACATCAAAATCATGTAGCTTCATTTAAATTGCCATATATTAGGTGTAATTTATGTACTTGTCAGTTAACTTTTTACCTGTGCAGCATGCTTTAGCATTCCAGATAGAGGCAATGAAGTGAATGCTATTGACTTGCTACAGGTAAACTCATCATATTTCTCTGTGCTTCTCCAACGATTAGTTGTCTTCTTAAATATGGTATAAAATTCCGTCAAAGTAGTTGCTTTACTTGCTCTGAATCCTATGGCATGATTAGTGCTTTCACTCCTTTGTGACGATAAGATCCCTACTGAAAAGAAATCTCTACAAAGGGAAGGACACCATTTGTCTTTCAACTCATACACTCTTTTGTACCAAGAGTGTTCTGTCAACTCATATTTTTGCAACATTGCTTGCCACTTTGCTTCGAATTCTTGTTCTGTCACACACATCTTTAAGCACTGGTTGAATGCAAATTTGAATTCTTTGTCTTTTTTAAGAGCTCCAAATCTGGTTATGGCATTTTGCTCCAAATGCCATATACAAAGTCTATGTCTTGTATTAGGAATCACCTGCATTGAAAATAGGGGTCACTTTATGCTGTTAAAAGGGTTACTTTTTATGCACTAAAAAGGGTAACTTTATGCAGCTAAAAGGGTAACTTTATGTGAAAAAGGAAAACTTTATTGTCATAGCTCAAATCTGTAAGATGTCAATATAAATCTTTTACCTCCAGTATAGCATTTGCCATTGCATGGTCCTGGTCAGTGAATATTGAAGTTGGTTTTCTATCCTCCATAGCTTTGACGAAGGTTTGTAGTAACCACACAAATGAATCTGTCGTTTCATCCCCAATAAAAGCACAAGCAAACATACAATTATGCCAGTGGTTATTTATGCCAACAAATGGAGCACATATAAGATTATATCTGTTGGTTCTGTATGTTGTATCAAAGACAAGAACATCTCCATATATCCTATAGTCTTCTAGCATCATTGAATCTCTCCAAAAGATATTGCAAATTCTTCCTTCTTTGTCAAACTTCACTCTAAAAAAGAAGTTTGGATCCTCTGATTGTTCCTGACTTAAAATGTTCACTAAAGTTTGAGCATCTCCAGCCTCAATTTGTTCCATTCTTAACCTTGAGCAGAAATTCAGGTGATCTACAACACTATGGCCTATATTCTGTTCTCCTCCAGCCTCTGTAGCCATGTAATTGTAAGTGTCCATTGTAGTTAGACCTGAAGATTTCATTGTTTTGATTGTTACAACTTTTTCCTCTGTCATTTTTCTTTCAGAACGATGCAAATAATGCCACTGTGGCTTTGTTAGCTCGTGGTTATGCTGAATAACATGAGCCACCACCTCAAACTGTCCTTCTTTATTCACTTTTGCTCTTATGCATGCCTTGCAATTTGATCTTGTAATGGATACTTGTCTTGGCTTTCTTGTTTTTACATTTACATCCTCTTCATCAACCATTTCAACTAACTTTGTTTTCTTCTGACCTGAATGTCTCTTTCCCTCAGCAGAACACACATAGTTTTTCTCAGTTACTATTTTTGTGTGTTATTTGAATCTAGTTGTATGTTTTCTTATTGAAAACCCCAGTATAGCAGCATGTTTTTCATACAATTCCAAAATTTCTTCAAAAGTTTCTCTTACCACACCAACAAATGATCCTCTAAGATCTAAACCATAAGCATCAATTGGATTTGTATCTGTTATTTAATACAAACAAATCAGATAATAACCACAGACAGCATAAAAAAAAGGGTAACATTCGTTTGAAAATAGGGTAACTTTTATGCATGAAAAAGGTAACATTTAGGCATTGAAAGGGTTACTTTTTGCATACAATCTGAATTTTCAGCATACAATCTGAGTGTAACATTTGAGCATAAATAGGGTAACTATTATGCATGAAAAAGGTAACATTTAGGCATTCAAAGGGTTACTTTTTGCATATAATCTGAATTTTCAGCATACAATCTGAGTGTAACATTTGAGCATAAATAGGGTCACTTTTAAGCATGAAAAGGGTAACATTTAGGCATTCAAAGGGTTACTTTTTGCATGCAATCTAAAAAGTTCTGCATTCAATCTGAGGGTAACATTTAGGCATAAGTATGGTCACGTTTATGCATGAAAAGGGTAACAATTATGTATTCAAAGGGTTACTTTTTGCATACAATCTCAAAAATTCATAGAAATTACCTTCAGTTGCATCTGATTTGGTTGTTTGTTCTGAATTTGAATCAATTGATTTATCAGGAACCACTTGATTTTCTGCATTATGAATTGCGTCTTCTGCATTCTCAATTGCTTCATCTGCATTATCGATTGCTTCATCTGCATTGTCTGGATTGTTGAATATTGGTACGAATTCATCTCCAAAACAATTAGTTTCTTCTTCTTCTATAATCGATCGATTTAAATCGATTTCAAATTCAGTCTCAATTTGCCTCTGTTTTTGTAGCAATTCGTGAATGAGATTGTTGCAATTTGTTATATCGAAAGTCGAATTCTCCATTGATGATCAAATTCTGCAATTTGTAAGTTTTCTCACTTTCTTTGTCCTTAATTGATGATCGAATTCTTCTATTTGTGCGTTTTCTCACCTTTTTTCTCCTCGATTGATGATCGATTTCTGCAATTTTTGCGTTTTCTAAACTTTTTTCTCCTCGATTGATGTTCGTTTTCTGCAATTTTTGCGATTTCTCACTTTCTCTCTCCTCAATGGATGATTGATAGCTGCGTTTTCTCACTTTCTCTCTCCTCCATTGTTGTTCTGCGTTTTTTTTTTTTATTTTTAGGTATTTGAAATTCTGCGATTTTTTTTTTTTAAAAAAAAGCACGTGCGAAAACCCGATGTACAGTAAAAATACTGTACACCGGGTATATGCAAATGGGTTTGATTTAAAATTAAGAGTTTATGATTTGGCATAGTACTTTTATACGAAATAGCACTTGGAACTTGACATTGTTGAAGAAATTCGCGGCAATTTTTCTCCCAATTTGAAGAAATTCAACGGAACAAATGGTTTGGGGGTTCTTTCCTGTTAACCCACTTTCAGGTTTATATTTCTGTCTTTTGATTCATCTCTATGCTGTTAATTTATTCGCCTTTTGTGAAATAGGGTTTATTTTATTAATTACATAAATTGTTTGTTCGAAAGTTGTCATTTTTAAGAAATTAAAGGGCATCAAAGACTTGTTTTGATGATTTTCTTTGACTATATTCCGATTCTGGATTTTTAATTTTGTGTAAGATGTTTAATTTTCATTTAATTACTAATTAGAAGTTTTTAGCTGCTTAGTTATCGAATGAAACATGAAAAAGCTGTCAAAATAAGGTAAGATTATTTGCTTAAGCAAGTTCAAACATGTCCAATCTTGTTCTTGTTTTCTATGATCCAAGAACAACATTAAACAACTATTTGCTTGCCATTTATCGAGGATAAGATGATTAGCATTTCTTCTGATAAAATTGTATTTGCACCTGTTGATTCATATACTCACTTTAAAGGAATTTCCAATGGTTTATGGCACTTGGCTGACCACGCCAAGGGACATTCTGTGTAGCAAAGAATGTAGTGGAATCAATATGTTCTAGTTCTGGCTGGGGCTCTCAAGAGTTGTTTGGGTTTGGAGAATAGGAGGACTTTAATTGATTTGTGATAGATGTTTTGGAATATGTACCGCCTGTCCTATTACACTCTCATTGCTTTGCTGTTAATCTTTATATTCATTTTCTTGTTGTGAAAATGAGAGATCATTAAGTTGACATGAAAAAGTAAGCTTGGTTTAATTAAAATGAGGCCTTTTTTATATTGCCTTTTTTTTTTTTTTTTCCCTAGTGTATATGGTTTGATGGCACTAGGAGTGCTTCAATTATTGCTATGCTTTGATGTAATAGAAAATAGAATTTTTAGGCCTTGGTTTGTTCACCTTTGTTTCACTTATTTCAGGATAATAAGTTCATATTTGTTTTTTTTTTGAACTAAGGATATTAGGTTTATATAAGGGTTAATAAGTTTAGGAAAAATTAGTTTAGATAAGTTTTGATATTGCTTAATAAGTTCTAATAAATTCAGGTAAGTTTAGATAAGGACAATTAAGTTCTAAAATTCAGATAAGTGAAAAAGTCTTAGATGAATAGATCTCACCATTGTTGCATATACTTAAATATTAAGACACAATCATTGAACATAAATTTGAGAAAAGAAAATGCTCCTTTGGAATAATAGTGCATTGTATCCTTGATTAAGCTTTTGCTAGCTCTCTCACATAGCAATAGATATTTGAAGGAATACTTTTTATTTAGAAATCATTTAAAATAGTACTTTGAAAACTAGTATAGAACCCGTGCAATTGCACGGTTTTAAAAGTTTAAATATTAAATCTTACAAAATTGAAAACTATAATTATTATTTTAATCCACAGTAGTAAAAAACCTATATTATTCATTATTTTATAACAATAATGTGTACCCAATTATCACAATGCTCAATGAATAATAATAATGATGTGTATACACTTATTCAATAGTGAAAGCCTATATTATCACAATAATGTGTACCCATATATATTTATATTACAATATTCAATAATCTGTAGCTATTTATATTCATGTATTTTTGTTTTAATCATGCATGCTAATAAAACATACTCTCATTCTCTCTGTCCCATGATGTTGTCACAGTAGTCTTAAAAATAATTGAGTTTACAACCATCTATATGGTACAACTTATCCTAAAATAAACGATCAAAAGTTGCACCAATATTAATAAAAGTTACCGTGGCATAAATAAAAGTTACGAATATATATTCAATGTAACCCATATCTAAGAGAAGATGTTGTATGAGATCAGACTCGTCATGAGTCCAACTGTCCAATCATCAGCATTAAATATAATATTTATCTGATATCAACACTTTAATATCTGACATCAACAATAAAGTATTTGATATCAAATGTTCAATTTCGATATCAAAATTTAAATATATGATATCAGGAGTTCAATATCATGCAATTTTAGTTGATGCTTTTTTTTACGTATATGTATGATGGGTAGATTCTTATGTATGTTTTAGTTGACTAATAGTTATAAATTGATGTCCTTTATTTAATCAAACTTATTTAGGATTTTATTTGAAGTATATGTAGATTCTTATTTATAATTTGTGCGAAATTTGACAATTATAGAGCAGTAGTATAAATATTTTTTGGCAAAAATTTCACATGAAATCAATATTTTGACAATTTATAGAATATATTACAAAGTATATTTACGGAGTATATTGACATGATATGATGCAATTTTGTTAAACATTATAAACTTTAAGATTTTTTCAATATGTATGAGTTGTGAATAACAGTTTTAAACTTATTTAGTTGATATTTTTCTTAAGTATATGTGAATTAATACTATTTGATCAATATTTTCGTCAATATAATTGTAACTTAGTGAAAAAGATATTTTTGAGATAAATATTTATTGAACAAAAAAAAGTATCCACGCGGCAGATTTATAGAAAATAAATTGTTTTTAAAAAATATTTTAGTATTGAATACAAATACTTTAATTTATTTAGAATAGCGGAAATGGGTAGGAAATTAATAGCCATACTTTGGAGCGTACCAAAGACTAACAATTTTAACTTTGATCGTTCAATTTTCTTTGAGAGGGGTGATATAGTTTAATCATGTTATATGCCATTTAAAAATAAAAAATAAAACTACAAATTTTTGTTATTGTATCTTAGGGTGATAGTATTATGTATATATATAGGTAATAAGATCACTTTAAAAAAAAAAAAGGTAATTAGATCAATTATTTTAACCGGCCTAATCACTATTATTGCATCACTGTTATTAAAATATTATGTCATAATTTGATTTATAAAAGATTTTGTGCAATCAATAATTGAAATGGAACTATATATAATGCAATCAATATATACTGTACGTACTACTATATTTTGTTAACTAATTAATCTTATTAGTATATGAATATATTTTAAGTTATATGAATATACATATACATATATATATATATATATAAAATTACAGTATTATAATAAGATTTAGTTGATATTCTTAGAAGTAGAAAAATAGGCGGGAAAATTTTTAACCACAGAGTGACATATGTCAAGTTGTAAGAATGTAAGTTGAGCATCCTCTGTTTTAGTATATATATAGAATAGAGTGATAGATGGACTCCCTCAATATAAGTCATTACTCTTCTCATGTTTTTAGCTGGCATGTGACAAAAAAGGCAGAGACCAAAAGATATTATCTACATTTGAATACATGATGATGTTTTTCTAACAAATTGTTCTTGCCAAATTTATGTTATAGGAGAGGAGAAGTACTATATATACACAAAGGGAACATACAAAGTGGGCAGAAAAGGTATTTCTGGAAATATTTATTGCATCTTGTGTTATTTAGACTTAGGTTTGCTTGTTATTATGGTAGATATCGGAGTGTTAAATTTATCAGGGCTCAAATTGCAACACAAAGACACTGTCCAAGATTTGGACATGGGTTCAAAGGATACAACATTTCAATATCTTGAATGTAATTTCACCAAGATTAATCTGGTTATATGAATTAAATGAATTATTGGAAGATTGTGGCCCAGACACCAATAAAATAACTTTATTTGCTGTCAATTTTATTTTATGTAATGCCTTTTAGATCCATGTATATGATTTATATTCTATCCCAATACTTGTGCATTGGTCCTGGGATAGCAAATTTAATCTATGTAAGTAGATTGCACTATTTGTCTTTTTCGTGTGGTCAGTCATCTTTGCGCTTGTCCTCATTGTGTCCAGACACCATGTGGCAGCAAACGTTCAATTGGAGTAGTATATAATGTATATTGCTTCCTTATGCTTTGGTATGCTTAAGGGGTATGGGAACATAATATGTCACTTGATTTGTTAGACTTAGACTAGTCCAAAAGTGTACCACTGTATCATGTACGACATTCCACAAATTATCTCAAACACTTGTGTAACACTGGTTTGTAGAGGGAGTGAATTAGGTAATTCTGGGTTGTAAACAGTCATGAACTGGGTTTACGTTCCTGGCAAGCTAGAAATATGCCATTAGAATTAGATTTTTTTTTTTTTTGAATGTATTTCTGGTGAATAGGTTTCTGAAGTTAGAAGTGCTGGAGGCTGTTATCTAAAATACTGAATTTTAGCTATAATTGTTAATATATTCTGCCTGTTTTCTGGCTCAGCATTTTTATTTATTTATTTTTTTTCCCTGCATTTCTCACAGTAGAAGATCTACGCTTTATCTGATGATAAAAGTTTGTACAAACGTTAAGTTTTCCTCTCTGTATTTTCTGTCCTGTGCAAGCATGGTCTGTTCATCTGTATATTGTTTGCCTACACCTGGCCTATTTATGTTTAGTGTGGTGACTAGGTGATGCTTTTTTAAGAACCTTGATTTTTTATATGGGATTTTAGGTATGCAGGTATCTATCGTCATCTTCTTTCCTGGGTAGTTGTTAACATGGTATCTCCATTTTCTGCTTGGAACTAACACTTACAAGTTTAGTTGCATTACGGTTCAGATCCGTGTTTTTTTGGTTTGTGCATAGGTAGAAAATGTGTTTTTCTTCTGAATTTATCAGATGTGTGTTTTTAGAAGTCCAATCAATGACTTAGCTCTTTGGCCTCATCATCTTAACATCTGTTTATTTGACCCCTTTAGGTTGTGATGTGAATATAACAAATGATAAAGGTGTTTCACGTATACATGCTGAGATCATTGTAGATGTAATGGAATCTTTGAAACCTGCTGAGAAGAGATCATCTAGCATCTCCTCCAAAGTTAGGATAAGAGATTGCTCCAAGTATGGAACATTTATTGTGAAAGATTCTGGCATAAAAGAAAAAGTTCATGATTGTCCAGGCAAAGAAATATATTTGAAAGTTGGGGATTTGGTCAAATTTGGCTCCGGAGATCTAACATACAGGTACTGGTCAATATGGTCATTCTTTATTTTTTTATTTTATTTTATTTTTTCCTGTTTTTCTTTTTCCTCTTGTTGTTAGTAGTAATGTCTAAAAAGTTATAGGCTCTCTGATGCACACTTTGATCTCTGCTGCATGTGAACTAAGGCAACATGGTGTCCAGAATGACCTTTACCACTTAAATATTTTTTGCTATGCTATGGTGATTTGGCTGTTTTTCATAGTTAAAGTGACTGCTATGCAGACACTTAAGGCCTCATAGGAAGCCGAGCTTTCTTTTTTTATATAGTTTTAGTTGATACATGTGTACTTGCTCTCTGATTGAAGCTGACAATCATTCTGTTGTCTGTAATTAAAATCCTGTTAATGATCTTCCTTTACTTGATTTTTGACTCCATTGGTTTGTGGTCCCATGAAATCAATCGTTCTTGATGCACTGACTGCTCTTGCTCTCTTCCTAATATTTTTGCAGATTTTCTTATGTCCCACTAAATTTCTACCTTTGCAATTTCACAAGCTCCCAAGGAACTCCTTTTACACAAGATAAAATATCATCTATAGGTTAGTGTTATCCTTTATAGCCATTATTTTCTTCATGTCGGCTTCCATTTATCTTGATTTTAAAATTTGCAGAAATAGCATTTAGCTCTATCCTATGCAGTGTTTGCAATTGTGTTCATTCTAAATTCCCATCAATATGATCTGTGGTTAAGCATGGTCAATTGACAGGTGTTCTTGGGCCATATGCGTCATGATTGACTTATTTGCATCTCTTTTAGGTGCTTGTGTTTCACATGAGTGGACTAAGGAATGCACACATGTACTTGTGGATCCATTCATGCCTGTTACCGAGGAAGTAATTGATATCGTTCTGTCTAAGAAACCTGTTGTACTAAGTACTTGGCTGGAGGTATGCTCGCTTTCTTTTTTATTTTTATTTTTTGGCAGTTACCTAAAAGTTGGTATTGTGGAAACTACACATCGAGACGAATCAAACAAGGTGTCACATGCGTATGTTTTTTTTTCTTATTTATTTATTTATTTATTTATTTATCGAGAGTGTTAGATTCCATTTGCATTAGAATCTATAATGATTCTAAACAGGGTTAACTATTAGAAACAGAGGAAGTAGCTTTCACAAAAGTGGACAAGTAAAAGGTAGTTGCTCACAATATCCAACATGTTTTTGTTACCAGTAGGAACTTGATGATTATTTTAAGACATCCTAGTTTGAAATTTATGACAAACATTGTAGAGCAGTGCAAGTTATAACTTGTGATTGGCTGATTGCATTCTCCGAAATCAACTTAGAATTTTTAACTTTTGACTCCTCTCTTCCCCAACACTGGAGCTGTCTGCATCCCTCTTCTAATAGGTCCAATTGAAGCATGCCAAAATTTCTATCAGAGAATAGCTGGAGTAATAACCATCATTTTATATTTATTACCCTTAGCCATTGCATCCCTGTAAATAAACTTCATCCTTGTAGCGTATAACTCAGCTCTTGAGTTTATTATCCTCACAGGATAAAGTTGTTTTAAAGCCCAGTTAATTTCAGTAATTTTGAGTCAAATATATAACTTGACATTACAGAGACTTAAGGGAGTACATTTGAAGCCATTACCATTACCAAGTTTTTTTGTGATTTGATTAGTTCTTGAAGCTCTACCAAAAAAGAAGATTATGGATTTTGATGTAACTTAAACATATACTCATATTTGTTTTTGTTGATTCTCCTTTTGCAGATTATTGCAGGAACTAGGATACACAGTGAAATTCCAAGTTACAGTCAGTAAGTGTCGAATTGTCTGTCTGATTGTGTTTATATATATGGTGCTTTTATGTGGTTTAGGACTTTAGGTCCAATTAAATGAAATTGATTGTTGTACATTGACCCGGTGGTCCGGTGGTGACAGATACATTCCGACGTTGACTTTGGATGGTGAATCAGTATCGATAGCAGATACCAGGACTCGTGAAAATTGCTTAAAAGGATACACTTTTGTGTTGGGTTCTGCAAATAAGGTGCTTACCTTATGAACACTGCATTATAGAATTTTGATTGAAAATTAATGTGTAGTTAAATGCAAGAATTCAAGGAACCAATTCTATGATAAGGCTTCACTACTTCACCCACCTATACTCCCTCCGTTTTTTTTTTTTTTTTAAAAAAAAAGTATTACAGTGTGAGCAGCATTGCAGACAAAATAAGGGAAAATCGTTTGCTTTGGTTTAGGCATGTAAGACGGAGACCCGAGGGTGCACTGGTACGAAGAGTGGAAGAGTGCCCATGGAGGGGTTAAACGAGGGAGAGGGAGACCGAAAATGACTTGGTTGAAAGGAGTTAGGAAGGATATGAAGTATATGGATGTGCATCAGGATGAGGCATTGGATCGTAAGGGATGGAGGAGGAGGATCTTTGTTGATGATAACACCGAATAATCAAATTTGGTTCATGTAGCCGACCCCACTTATGGGATTAAGGCTTTGATTGATTGATTGATTGCTATTACAATGTGAGCGGCACATTATATTAGTTAGTTTTATTGATTTTAATAATATAAAATGTAAGTGGGGTAGTTGGGGTTTATAAAATTGTCAGAGATGCTCTGGAGTTGATAGTTTATTGAGAAATAAGGGATGTGAGAGGATAGATAATACCTTTTCCGCTTTTTTAGTTGCATGACTTTGTAATTGCGGACTCTTAAGCAATTTTTAGACCAGAGAGAAATAGAGAAAAAAAAATAAAGAAGGCCCATGTGATAGGAGAAAGATAGAGAGAATTTACTAACTAAAAGAGAAAGTGCTGCATTTAAATTGAAACTTCCTTATTTAGAAAGTAATGCATCTAATAGAAAACCGAGGGAGTAATATATATATATATATATATATATATATATATATATATATATATATATAAAAAGGAAGTATGTGTGGGTAGAAGTGGAGACCATGAGAGGAGAGAGATATAATATTAAACAGAATAAATTTTCCCTTGAAGGAAGTGTAATAACACTTAAAAAAAATAGGCCGATTAAGGCATGTGTAACATTTTAAAAAAAACCCGGAGAGAGATAATATTAAACTATATAGGTCAATAAGTTCTCTCGAATCAATTATTGCAAGTCTAACATGATGAATCTACCTCTCATTGCTTAACTTGGTGTTTACAAGCATAATAAATCAAATATGGTCATTGCTCAACTAATTAATTAATAATAGCAAATTGTTGGGAGATATCATAAACCAATTCAAAGTCAATTCAACAAGACATTAATTCCATCTAACCATTCATAAATCCCCTTAGCCTTAAGAACTAAGGAAAATACGATTACCACCAAATAAAGATTGAAACTTGAAAACAAACAATGAAAGAAGAACAAAGAATCTGAAAAATACCTCTAAAATCATGTTTGAAGAAACTTGAATCTAAAGTGCTAATTGAATGCTTGGGTGAAAATTATATTAAGTAAAAGTGCTTAAGAGTAAACTAAAGTACCCAATCAAAGCTTAATTACATAAATTTTCCCTACCCTATTTATAGGAGAGCTAAAATGAGAAATAAAACCCGACCTAAAACAAGTGGGCTAGGCCCCCAAACATCTACGCTATGGTGCTAGGTCATGCTACCCGATCAGGCGAGCATTGCTTTCGAACATTGCTTTTAAAAAAATCAAAGTATCGAGCTCCCAAAACTTGGACCGATGGCGCTTGCCCCATCAGGTGGCTGGGAGCATAAAGTAGACTCTCCTAGCTTCACATAACTAGTGCGATGTCTCGCCTGACCCCCTCTAGCAACCTTGCCCGAATCAGGTGGCTTTCATCACACTTCAACATGCCATAACTTTGTCATTTCTCTTCAGAATTTGATGTGTAACCTATCGTTGGAAAATTCTTCAACCTTAGTTTCTAACCCAACTGGAATTATCTCATTATCAATTGTGACTCAAAAGTTATGACCAAAAGAGTGCACAACAGTCAGATTTTGCACTTCCTTCATGAGCGTCCAAACAATAGAACTTTGTTGCTAGCATCCGGTTGCTCAAATCAAACTCTAAACAGCAAGTACTCCGTACTTAGCCTAGCAAATTCCACAAATCCTCCAAGAATTGTCCAATGTAGTAGAAATCCGGAGAAAAGCCTCCTATTCCTATATAAAATCAATTAAAACACAAGCAACACTAAAAAGATGAAATGTTTGTAGAAAATAGCTCCGAAGAGCTTTAAACCACTTAGTAAATGCTAGGAACGGGGGTAAAACTCATATATAATGTAAGCACATCACAAATAGGAGAAAAAAAATTCAGTTTTAGGTAGTGACGTGTCATCATCACAAATAATGAATATATTATAAAGGCACTCACTTTTCATGAATGCTCTTTGTTTTTAGGGGATTTGGTATTTTTTTTCTTTGGAAAGCTAATTGATCACTAATATTAATGACATCAAGAGTTTCAATCTTAAGATTGAGAAAATCATTTAAAATAGGAAGCTTTTAGTCACAAAGGTGCAATAGGAGATAGAAATTTTCATTCAATGTTAATAGGAAAAACTTTGTGATTACAAAGTTTGTCTTACTCCTTTATAGGTGCTAAGTTGCTAGCATTACCCTAGTTAGCTTCTCCAAACAACCTTTGGATTGCAACTGAATGTACCGAATCAAATTCATCTAATACAAAGTAAAGTTAGAAATTCGTAAATGAGTTGTTGCCTGATCCCATTAGGGGAAGTCATCCTTACAGAAATGAACCAAGATATCTAAAATCTTCGAAAAAAAATCAAAATTGCTAGACAGGGTGGATGGAGGAAGTAAAACTTTTTCACGTATGACTTTGCTAAAAGAGCTATCATAGCTCGAGCCCAATAGGCCGGGCAAAGGAAGTAATAATTCTTCTCATACTACTCCTTAGGCCTCAATTATAATGTTCCATAGGCCTCAACCATACTACTATTTATGTCTCACCCAATGGCGGATCCAGGAATTTGGTAATGGGGGTACGGAAATTAAACCCATTAAAATATACTTTAATTTATGGAGTATTATTGGCGTATAAACTTTGAGTTTTATTTCCAATAATAACAATGTATATTGAGGCAAATAAAATCAAAACCAATAACATTACACATATTTTTACGTATAATTTTTTAAACACACATTTTTTTTTTTTTTTTTTTATGTAATACGAAATACATTGTAGTTAGTACTGTATGTGTAGTATACTGTAAATAAAATTATTTACAAAATAGTATTAAATCTTAATAATTTTTGTAAGGAAAAAAATTAAGGTATGTCAATGACCATTATAATATACTCTATATAATTTGTTTACCGTAGTCAAATTTTTAATTAAGAACCTTTTTCTAACATCAATAAAGATCTAAGGAAAAGTAATTAAAGAATACCTCATAATATTTTTATATACGGAGTACAAGTCTATTAAAAAAATATACGGAATACAAGTATATAAATAATACAATTTTAGTTTGATATTCGGTATAATACAAAAGTGAATAGGCAACACATAGGTAAACAAAAGAGATTTAAATTGGGTATTTGAAAGGGAAAAAAACTGGTAAATTAAAGAGACCTGTTATTTCACAAAATTGGTCTCTTTAATTTAGTGCTTTCAGCCGCTTTCTTATAGCGTGTCAGGCAAATTTTAAATTCATACATAAGAGACCTGTTATTTAAGAAAACAGGTCTCTTTTCTTAACATTTTTATTTTTTATTTTAGAATGGGGGTACAACTGTACCTCTGTGTACCCCCTAGATCTGCCACTGGTCTCACCTACTATAACTAGACCCTCCAAAGAATCGGCTTCATTTTAAGCAGTAAGGAAACTTCTTGATCTTTAGGATTGTCAAACCTATGAGTTTGGAACCCAAGAATTCTCCATGGAACCCACTTAGTCATTATAAGTGGTGCTTTTCAGACCTTCTTGACTTGCGGGTACTTTTGATAAGTAATTTAGTGCTAATTTATACTTGTCAAGTAGTTTATAAGTGCCTCTTGTTTGTCAATTTCCATTTCATTTCTTTTGCAGTATAGATTCAAAGATAGGGTGCAATCATTGCTGGAGGTTGCTGGTGCAAAAGTTCTTTCAATTAACTATTTTGATAATAATATCCAGGTATATTGTGGTGTTTAGCACTTTGAAGATTTATTTTATCACCAATTAAGGATTCCATACCCACCCATAACTTGTGCAAAAATACTGTGTTGCAGGATCAAGTGGAAACCGACAAGTGTTTGGCGCTTGTAATCCCTGCTGATTCAGCTGAAAAATTCTGCCTTGATAGCTCACTGTCTAAAGTAAATGAGATCAAATTGATTTCTGCAGTTTTATCAGGGTATCTTGATCCGTCAATCATCATGTCCTCATCCAGTAAGTTGTATTGACTGTAGATTACCTGGATGCCTTGACCAACTAAAATTGTCTGTCTGAAATCTGTACTGAAGTATTACTGTGTACATATCTGAACCAGTAGGTAAAATTTTTCATTTGAATAGTCCTTCACCTTTCTGTCTACTTGTTTTTCCTTTATAGTTTGTTATTGTCCTTTTTGAAGTCGAAGGGTTTGACTAGCAGGAATACATTTTCTTTGTTAGCCTTCTAGGATTAGTTTGATCTTTTTTGTTATTTTAACTTCATCTCAAGGTTTCTTTTTTTAAATTTTTTTTTAATTTTTAATTTTTTAATTTTTAATTTTTAATTTTTATTTTTAATTTTTAATTTTTATATATTAAAATATATGTATATGAGCAGACGGCAATAAGTACAAGAACAGAGGATAGTTGTCCTATCCAGTCTAAGACAGGGATTACATATTATATCTCAATTTCTTTGTGTTTCCTTCTACTGCTGTGTAACTATTAAAAGCCCCCACTGTTTTTGCCCTCAAAGAAAATAAATAAGCTATTCAATTTCATTACAAAACACCACTTAAAATTGTTCTTGAGAAATTTTGTGCATTCCATTTTAACCATTGGCATCACAGAATTACCATAAAAGCATTACACCATGTCTACTTCTCCTTGGCCCTTCTAAAGCCCACAAATCAAACTTGTAACAGTTCCAAAGCAGTACCAAGGAAAACCTGGTATGCTCCTTACACAGAAAGTTGCCTTCTCAAAAAATACTTGCCATCTTCACAATGAAAAAGGTAATGTGAGGAAATCTTGTTATTTGCATGATACAACATGCATTTATTTATCGAAATATCCATTTTTGGTCTTCTCTTTATTAGTATATCATAAGTGTTAGTTCTACCCAATGCCAAGGTCCAAACGTTTGATCTCACCCTAAGAGGTAATCTAGCCTTCCAAAAAAATTTGTGAGAGCTGGGACAAGAGGGGAAGGGGGGAGGGGTGGGGGAGGATAAGGGTTTTGGAAGATGTTATTGCCAATTTGTGAGTCCCTAATTCTAAAAAGATTGATGTAAATATGAAATATAATATGAGTTTCTCTTAAAAGATCCATCATCGGCTTTTCATGAAACTCTCAAATCTTAAAAAAAAAAAACCAAACTTGTTTTGACTTCCATCTTTGGCTTCAATTTTTTCTGAAGCATTAGTAACAAAAATGATTTTTTCTTGCATGAACACAATGGTGTGTGTGTGTTAATATAATCAATTGATAAACCATGTATGCATGTCTGTTTATTTCTTCTTGTGTATTTAATTAATAAACTATATCAGACAACAAGAGTTGTACCTACTGTATTTGATGATGTTGAAGTATTATTTTTTATTTGGCCACAGTTTTGATGATGTTGAGCTGTTCTAGATTATCATGGTCTGCATGCTAATTGAATTATATTCTACTGAGATAGATTATTAATCTCTTCATCCCAGCAAAATTGCACTATTTCCTATATAGGTTGTTTCATTTTTCTTGTAAACTTCTTATTTTGGCACGGGTTACTATCTCTGGTCACCTCTGCCTTTTTTCTCCACAGTATAAAAAGATACCCTATATCTTTAATCGGATCTACTATCTTATCATATGCACTTTTTTTTTCCAGTACCATTTGCTTATCCACACCACTAATAAATCTCTCTGCAATATGTTAAGGGACAGATTGTTTTATTAATATAGTCAGCCTACTAGTTTGTATTTGTATTCCTTCTTCCCCCTTTATCATAAGTAAGGAAGTTTGGGGAATTATCAAAGAGAGTACTGCCCAAGTTCCTTTGGGAGAATAATTTGCCTGCTTTTGACCAAGATATATACTCTTTCTGCAGTATTAGTCTCTTCTTCATGTTCAACCGACGAGACAGTGGTTGCAGACTCCGATGCAGAAGCAGAAACAGCTACTTCAGATCATCCAAGTATGGCCAATTTAGTTGTTGGACATGCAAGTTATGAAAGTGAAATGCAGATATATAAAAAAAATACTGGTTCTCTGTGTATAGGTGCTATAAGTGAAGAATTGATGATGCAGAATAAAACAAAATATTTCAGTGGAACAGAGGCTACTGACTGCATGAATATTGACAAGAAATCTGCAAATAAAGATGCTTCATCACCAGAAGTTGGTGAAGTTCTGAGTTTTTTGGAGCCAAAGAGGGAAGCAGCCAATGCAAGGAACGATGATTTGGAAAGTTGGAACCTAGATATTCTTTATAGCCAAAATTTAATTGTCAGAAATACTAATACAAATGACTCAGTGAGTTCTGTATCAGACGGTGAAGTTGTTAATTTCAAGCGTTTTAGAAAGGTAAGTTATTAGTGCTAATGCTTCATATCTTTTCTGCTTAAGCATGTCTAAGTGAGTCACTCCACCCCCCCCTGAAAAGCTTCATTCCAATCAATTAAATATACATACTGGTATACTACCTCTAACATAGTCAGATCAACCCATGGAATGTCAATACTGGCTAGTTCCTGAATCCATCATATTTCTGTGCATTCTGCATGCTCTTGTTATTTGTTTTTACTTTTATCTCAAATATACTAATGATTACACAAGTTTGTATTTGTATTTGTTTTTTTTTTTTATTCCCTTTTCTGATTAGTGGGAAGGGTGTGGTGGGGGTGTAGGCAATGAAGAGTGGGGCCACAGGTGTATACGACAGTCCTGATGTAAGTACAGTACAGGTCCTCTGTCTCCAGGTTTGGAGAGGCAAGAGATTAGGGGTTAGGACTATATGACTATCCATCCACTCTTTCTTCCTTCAAGAATTCAAGTATTTTTATTCTGGCTGTATGCTCACTGTCTTAAGAGAAACTGGGGATACTTTTTGGTACTTGGTCCATACCCGGGCCCAAAGTTGAAGGATATGTCATGAATTTTGTTTAATTCTTTGTCTCGTCCACAAAGATGAAAATTTTAGGGCAGTGTTTGAAATTTGAAGGAATATTATCCCTAGATATGGCTGTTGTTGAAGCTTCAAAATTCACCATAAGCGGGTTTTGTGAAAACTTTCTTAATTAAGCAAATCATGAGATTTGGTGCGGGTACATGGCTAACATAGCATCCCCTGTGGTTACACATGTACTTACAATCAGCTAAGGCAAATTTGGCTGGCTACTTAGATATTCTTTGTAGAGGAGCTAGCATCTATAATTTTGCAAAAGAAAGTTTTGCTTTAGTTATCGGCTGGAGAGTTTTTTTGCACAACCGTTCAGAACATTAAGTGCTGTGGCTAGGGAAAAATGCATACAAGGAAGGGATATCTTTCAGAAGCTTTGATTGGTCAGCTATATTTGGTTTAGCTAATTTAGTCTTACTAAAGATGTTCATGTATTCCTATAATCATATTGGGTTATGCTTGTGCTCAGTTTGCTGAAATGATTGTCTATTGTTCTTCTAACAGTTCATTTAGTATTACTTTTAGTCTTTGGACAACAGAACATGTGCACTAGAGTGATTTTGATTAAGTGGTGAAGAGCCATTTCTAGGAACCACATGTTATGTGCCTTCTTTTCTTGTTCATATTCTTGTTTTGATCTCGATATTTGGTTTGATTGCACAATATACATAAATTAAACAATCTTATTATTTGTCATAGGCTGCTGAACTCCAATATTAGAAAATTTTCTATGCATTTGTCAATTATATAATCTCATCATGGGTAGTTTGTTATTTGTTATTGACTGTTAGCTATTTGTTATGACTGCAGACTAACATTCAGTCTGGGAATAGCTTTAGCAACCTTGTTCCATATTCAAAATATCCATATACGTATGTTGCATCAGATCTTTCTCAAATTATTTGATATTTTTACCAACTATTGTTAAATATTTGTTATAATTGCTAGTGTAAAGACTAGGTTCTTTTATATCTGATATCTGCTATGCAACTCTATGCCAGTGATTCTGACTATGATAAGGAAGTAGTTGAATATGTGAAGGATGAGAAAAAGAGGAAACAGATGGAAGCAATGGCAGAGGACTTGTTCAAAAATGAACGGGTGAGTTATTCAATCTCTTGGTGTAATTATTGTGTAAATTAAGCACAGTGATGTTGATATCCTATTACTTGCGGTTTTAGGGATGGCGTCGTGGAGTTGCTGGTTCTATTCAGGAAATGCTGAGTCGTAACTGACGCAGGTTTGATCAATCTTTTTTTTTATTTTTTTTTTTGGCGAATGTCAATTCTACGAGTAAGGGTGAAAAGTACTGTTATGGACTGATTTTCTGATTATGTATTTGTAAATAATTGAATAACAATATTGAAGGAAGGTTGGAAGTTTGATTGAATTTGAGTTAAAGGATACAAGATAAGTAATAGCTTAAGGCTATTTGTCTCCAAGAGTAACTTGAGGTAACCAAGCTCTAACAAGTCTAATTCATCAAAAACATACCCTTCCCATTGCCTTCCCCTTCCCTATATACTACAACTTACTACAAGGAGAGTTGACCACAAAGTCAGTCACTCTTTTCATTACTATTTGTCTTTTACTAATAAAAGTTAAACATTAGAAGTGAAAGGTAAACATTAGAACTTCAAGCTGTCTTGTTACTTCTTATGGTTGCTTCACATGTCTTCCTTGGTTGATGTTGCCTTCATGGGTTGTTGTCACCTTGCTGGCCTTTGCCCCTCCTACTGTAGGTACGGATTTCTGGTACAAGTGGGCTTGGGCCACTTGGGTCTATTGCATGTACCCTATATGGCTATATATAGGAGACAGTCTGCAATCCATGTACAATACTAGTGCGCGTGTGTAATCCACTACCGATTCAAATACTAGTCACAAAGGCATACATTTTCTTCAAAAAAAAAAAAAAAAAAATTAATCAAAATTTTTATGCATCATTGGAGTGAGTGCATGATAAATTACAACTCAATGGTTTTGCACCACTAGTTTTTCTAATCTGACTTTCTCATGTGCTTGTTGTAGTATATATATCTATGCAGAATAACTCAATTCAACAATGTATGTATTTCTCTCTAAGCCACACTATTTTGTGTAGAAGGAACACTTGAAGGCGTGTACTTGAGGAACAAAGACTTGAAGAACATTGGAGGATCTTCCGGTGGATCACTTAAGATTTTGCCAACATCTCACATATATGTTGAAGAGTGACATGCTAGTAAAATGTAAACACTTCCATCATTTAATGCTCCATGTTTGTCGATGTAAGTTATTCCACATGATTTTTTAAGAAATGATGATATCATGTCTTGCTTGGAAATTCTAGGATTGTGTATGTGAAATTAAAGTGCTGTGAAGTTTTCTAGTCAATATACGGCTATAATATGATATCATGCCATATGCTCGTTTGATTGCCAATGTGAGAAGTCTGTAAAATGTGTATTCTCTTAAATTACTTAACCTCGAGTTACTACTTTCTCTGCTTGTCAACTATGATACTCGTTATCAGAAGTTGCCGAGCTCCTAGTGATTAAATTTCTGTTGTGTGTAGTTGTTACATGATAGTATAAGTTTATCCTTATCTGAATTTGCCTCTTTTTTAATAAAAAATTTAGAATTGGAGCTTCAAAGCTGTGTGAAAGAGGGGCTTTAGGATTGTTAAATAACGTAGGAAATGGAGAGATGGTGTGGGTGATAAAATTTGAAGATCACTCATTAAAGTCCGTGATTTGAAGTGATGAGAAGATGTAGTGATGTAGCCCAAAAATTTGAAGATCATTAATGTTCCCATCAACTTTAGACAAAATTCTAATGGCCTTGGTTCTCTCTGTAATGGTCTCCGTATACGTGGAAGGACGAATTCAATTAGCCCCCAAGTCCAATAATTTCGCTTCGGGTTTTAGGGTTAAAGTCCGGTTCACTTCACCTTATTTTTGCTGAACTGAAATTATTTTTACTGAACTGAAATTATTTTTGTTCAACTTAAATTATTTTTACTGAAATGAATTTATTTTTACAAAACTGAAAATAATTTTACTAAGCTGAAATTTAATGAGCTGAAATTATTTTTACTGATTCTCTATTATTTTTTACTTTTATTGAATTTAATTTAATTTTATTGAATTGAACTTATTTTTACCGAGTTGAAATTATTTCATTGAAATGAAATTATTTTTACTAAAATATTTTTTTTAAGATGAACTGAACAAAGCCTTAATATTATTAAGTTTTTTTTTTTTTTTCTTTTGAAACTTAATATTGTTTAGTAGTCTTACCCATAAATCAATTAGTAGCCAACTAGCCATAAGCATGTACAATTTTAATATATGTGTTGTGAAGACAAACTAAAGTAAAACATTAACATGTGTTGCTAGAGAGTAGGGGTGTTAAAAATTGACCTGGTAGATTCATTCGATCTGACCCGAAAAAAACTCGATTTATATTTTGACTCGTATGGACACAAATTAGGATGATTCAACTTTAAAATAAACTTGACGTGACCCGTTCTCACTGAAGCCGACCCGGGTACCCGAATTGGAACTCTACTAGAAAGTTTGCTATTAGTAATTTTCTACTATTTGCCAATATGTCGGGATCTTTTAAATCAGACCAACAATACTGAGTTTCAGGTTAGATTAACTCCGGGTATTTCCGCGACTATCAAAGATGAAATTATAAAAGCGACTAGAGATACTACTTACTTGGTTTAAGACATCTGAATTGTCTTAGTGTGTTCTACAACGTACTAATGAAGTTGTTTCGTATCCCATTACTCGTACTATGTTAAGTTTTCTTAATTATTAATGTTTCATGTTATTTCATGCTTTCATTAAAGATTTATTCTTATGGTGTTCTTATATTCGTGTAGGTTAATAGATAAATTTTTTAGTTTAGACGTAAAATTATTTTATAGATAGAAATTACAACCATGAGATGATCGAACTAAATATTGTATCATTTTTGGTGCCATAAATTCTCAATGGTAGCAATGTACTTTTGCTCATATTCAATGGTAACAAAATATTTTACAAATTCTCCAAAATAGCATTACTTTTTATAAGCTTCTCTAATATGACAATACTTTTACAATTAGTAACTGATTAGCTTAATTAAACAAAAATTAACAATAATTAACAATCTTGTAAAAAAAAAACAATAATTAACAAAAAAAGATAAATAAATACTCCCTTTGTCCCTATTTATTTGCCCCATTTGACTATGCGCGGTCTCCAAGACTCGTTTTAAAACGTTTATATCTTTATTTTCATATACGTAAAAATTATAAAAACATGATATTAATAAAATATACAATGAGACGAATCTAACAAGATCACTCATGACTATATTATCTTATATAGATTAACGGTAAATTATGGTCAAAGTTTTCAAAGTTTGACCCAAAAAATGGCAATGAGGCAAAAATAAAGGGACAAGGGAGTAAAAAGTACAAAGCCCTCTTTCATAGCCACCCCACGCCGCCGGTTAGCTGCCGGTTAGCCACCGAAACCCACCACCACCCTCGATAATCATACCACCCTACTCGCCTGAACCCCATGGATCCACCCCACCCTCGCCGAAACCCTAAAACCCCCTTCAATTATGGCAACCAACCGTCACTGACAATTTTTGGAATCCATCAAATATCTTGCTGTTTTTTCAAATTCCCCCAAATCGATTTCTCAATTAGGGTTCCTTCATTTTTCGTTCCCTTTTCCTTTGTTGCTTTCTCGTTAGCCTTTCAATTTTTGTTTTAGATTTTTAGGGTTTTCGATTTTTCCCCAATTGCCAATCTTCATTGGGTGCAAATTGGTGGTGGTGGATAATGGTGGCTAGTTGGCGGCGTGGGGTGGGTTCGCAGGGTTTAGGCAAGCTTGGTGGTGGTGGATTCTGGTGGCTAGTTGGCGGTGTAGGGGTGGGTTCGCAGGATTTAGGCGAGCTTGGTGGTGGTGGATTCTGGTGGTAGTCAGCGGCGTGATGGTGGGTACGCGAGGTTTATGTGAGCTTGGTGGTGGTGGCTTCGGGTGGCTAGTCGGTGGTGTGGGGTAGCTGACAAAGAGGACTCTATACATTCTTTTAAATTTATCATTTTTTTTTAAAAAAAGTTACTTCGTATCATTTAATTAAGCTAAGTAATTACTAATTATAAAAGTGTCTACATTTTAGAGAAACTTATAAAAAGTAATGCTAATTAGGAGAATTGGCCAAATATTTTGTTACCAATGAGAATGTGCAGAGTACATAGCTACCATTGAAAATTTCCCTTAATTATTTTATCTGTTGAATGGAAATTGCAACCATGAGATGACCGAACTAAAATATGTATATTTTTTTGGTGTCATTTATTGTTTTATTTGTCGGATGGACATTGTAACAATGAGATGATTAAACTAATAATGTTATGAGAACATATTATGTGCAGCAAGACTAACGAAACGCTTCATGCGTCAAAACACAAACCACAAATTAAAAAAAGGCGCGGGTTTGAAGCTCGGTTGAACCGGGCTTCGCGGGCTCGATTAAAAAAGGTGCAGGTTTGAAGCTCGTTTATACAGGATTTTGCAGGCACGATTAAGACTAGACGATATCCTTTAAAGATTGGATGATATCCTCTAAAGACTAAATACTAGTTGATATCCTCCTAAGTGAAGATGATATCCTTACAAGACTAGATTTTATCATCCAACCCGTTACTAATATAATTCAAACACTAGACGATATCCTTAAAAGACTAGATGATATCCTCTAAAGACTAAATACTAGTTGATATCCTCTTAAGTGAAGATGATATCCTTAAAAGACTAGATTTCATCATCCAACTAGTGACTAATATAATCCAAAGACTGGTTGATATCATCCAAAGATTAGATGTATAATCCAAAGACTAGATGATATCCTCTAAAGAGTAAATGATATCATATAAACACTAAATACTAGTTGATATCCTACTAAGTGAAGATGATATCCTTAAAAGACTAGATTTTATCATCCAACCTGTGACTAATATAATCTAAATATTATATGATATCCTCTAAAGAGTAAATGATATCATCCAACGACTGAATGATATCCTCCACAAACTAGTTGATATCCTCTTAAGATATGATGATATCATCCGAATACTAGATGATATCCTCTTAAAATTGATGTTTATCTAACATTGCTTAAAGTGACAGAAGATACAAGAAGTTTATATATGGAATGTGCATATTCAGCAAGTATGGAATGTGCAATTGCTTAAAGTGACAGAAGATACAAGAAGTTTATATATGGAATGTGCATATTCAGCAAGTATGGAATGTGCAATTGCTTAAAGTGACAGAAGATACAAGAAGTTGATTAATTTTTTCGAATCTTATTTTTTTTTTGTCATATATCATCTAACACTTTAATTATTTAAGTTGTATGTATTTAATTTGTCATCTTATTCAAAGAATCTTAAATAGTAAAAGTAAATTTTTCTTTTGGCAGTGTTTAGTCTTTTGCAGCATTATTTTTTTGTTTTTTTGAAAATCATAAACATATTGTATTACTCAAATCTTAATATTTCCTATGTGCAATATCTGAATTAGTCAAATAAAGTTTTATCTTTTCAAACGTTAAAGCTAAAATCATGTTTATATCAATTTTTTGTCAAACCATATATTAATGCTTTGTTTAATCAAGAATATATTATATTATACAACAAAAAGAAGATATCCTCTAAAGACTGGATTATATCATGTAAAATACTGGATGATATCCTCAAAAGAATTAATGATATCAGGCAAATACTAAATGATAACCTTCAAAGACTAGATTATATCATCAAATGTATGGATCATATAAGACCAAGTTATCATATACAACTATCACCATTGACAAAAAACACTTTAATCATATAGGTTGTATATATTTGGCTTGTCATTTAGCTAAAAGAATAACAATTAGTAGAACTACGTCTTTTTTTTAGCAGGCTTGAGAATTTTGGAGTGTTATTTTTTGGAAATCATATATATATTTTATTAGTCAAACCTATTAGAATTTATTCCTATTTCCTATATCAAATATATGAATAAATCAAATTGCATTATCTTAACATTTCATTATTTCACACGTAAATAGCTATTTAAAGCATTTACCTATAAAAAACCTTTACCCATATATAGCTTGAGTCTATATACAGCTTGTGTCTATCTATATAAACCTTTAAGTCTATCTAAATTATACTTACTCTTCTTCTTATTCTTTTTCTTCTTCAGAAGAAGGAAAAAAAAAAAACCTTCCTCTTTGAAATGGAGAATGAGAATTTTTATGAAAACATGGAACATTGCACTGTGAAATGGAGACCATCTTACAGAATTTCGCTTGTAAGATTATATTTTTATCTAATATAATAGTGTTTATATCTTACTAGTAATTAATTTTTTCTTAATGTGTGTTTTCAGCCTCTTCTTGCCAAATGGAAGTTATTACTGCTTTCATTTAAAGATACAGCAAGAGTGTATCGAGGGAACAATGGACGTGCTTGGAACGTCAAGGTGTTGAGTGTGGAAGAAGATACAAGCACTTCTGGAGGATTTTTCATTGATAAAGAGTGGCAGGACTTTGTGGATAGAATTAATTTAGCTGTTGGTACGATGAAAATCTGCATGTGTATTATAAAAATAAAACTTTTTGTATTAGATTTTTTTGATAATAATGGTATTGAAAGACTTCCTACCGAAGCCGAAAATGGTATTTAAGATGTAGTACTATTATTTTGTTTCAGTCTTGAAATGTTATATATTATGTATTATGCTTTATTATTATAGTAAAATAAATAAAATGATGTATCATGTATTTTATAACCTGCTTTATCAGAAATATAATATCCTCAAATATACATATCATATCCGCAAATTACTATATCATATCATCAATTGTGAAAAAAATACTCCTAAGTTAAGATGATATCATTAAAAGGCTAAATATATCATATCCTCAAACAAATTTATCATATCCTGCTTTATCTATTTCAATTATCAAATATATGATTCTCACAATAGAGGATATCTTTTATACATTAGAGGATATGATTCTCACATTATAGGATATCACTTATTCATAAGAGGATATGTCTTCTTACAATAGAGGATATAATTTATACATTAGAGGATATGACTTATTCATAAGAGGATATGTTTTCTCGCAATACAGTATATAATTTAAAGGAATTAAGGATATAATTTACACAAAAGAGGATATGTTTTACACATTAAAGGATATGACACACAACAATGAGAATACCAATTACACATAGAGAATATCATTCAAAAGACTGAGGATACGATTCACACATAAGAGGATATGATTCTCACAGTAGAGGATATTCGTATGTTTAATGAATTCAAAAGCGTTTCAATTAATAAAAAAATATCAGTGTAATGATTTGAGAATAATATGTTTGTGAACAGAGGATATAAGTATGTGAACTGAGGATATAAGAATGTGAAATGAGGATACCAATTACACATATAGAGTATCATTCAAAGGACTGAGGATACGATTCACACATAAGAGGATATGATTCTCACAATATAGGATATTCGTGTGTTTAATGAATTTAAAAGTGTTCCAATTAATAAAAAAATAATATGTTTAAGGATATAAGTATTTGAACTGAGAATATAAAAATGTGAAATGAGGATATAAGTACATCAATTGAGGATATATGTATACAGATGATATCTCTATCATCTATTATACAGATTATTAAAAATATCTTAAATAATATATAATTATTATTAAAAATATTTTTAATAAAATATTAGTATTATTCAAAATATCTTATCCTAAACCAAACGACACATTGTTTCAAAAAAAAAAAAAAACCCTAAACAACATATAACTTGACGCCCCCTTATATATAGTACATTTTTCATTGTCAAAGTTTCATTTCAAATCTATCCTTTTCTTCTCTTCAAATCTATCCTTCAGTATCAACAACCCTAAACCTAATTCTTTCTGCAAAAATGGAAAACAAAAAATCATCACGAAATAAAAAAAGTACGATTCGATTGATACTGAAGGAACTGATATAAAATCATTGGAGATCCAGTTGGGCTATCTCAAGGGTCAGTTACAGGAAGCCATTGATCGATGCAATGCTGAGGAAAGGCTTTGTATTGATTTAACAAAGGAAGTGAACAAGATTGAAAATCTCCTGAAAGAGAAGAAGAAAAAGGCGTGGGAAGATGATATTGCCGCTGCTGCAAAGGCTTCTAAAGAAATTTGGGAGGAAATGCAGAAGAATAAGAGGGTGGTTGGACAATCCTCAAAGTAGTTATCCATAATTGGATCTCTTCTTGTCATCTGATTTAGAGAACTCACTAGGGGAGGGTAACTACGTTTCTTTTAGTTTTTCAAATTCAAAGGCAATATCTTTTAACTTTGAGCCGCAGGACAATACCTACAAACAACACCATTTCACTTCCCAAATTCTCTAAGACATCCCAATTTTAAAAGTTGGGATGTTTTAGAGAACTTGGGAAGTGAAAGGGTGTGTTTGTAGGTATTGTTTGCAGCCTCAAAGTTAAAAAGATATTATGTTTGAAGTTGAAAAAGTAGAAAAAATGCAGTTACACTATTGTACAATAGAGAAAAACAAATCCTCAAACTGCATAAATCATATTTTTTATAAATAAATTATATCCTCTGATTAGTTGAAAGAATCTTACAAACCTTCTTAAAATTAGTTAAAAAACCAAATCCTCAAACACATATATGATATCCTAAATCGAGAAAAACAAAACCTCAAACCCTTATATCATATCCACTGAGAAAATTAAACAAACCTATCTCAATTTAAAATCAATAAAAACAAATCCTGAAAGGCATATATCATATCCTAAATCGAGAAAAACAAATCCTCAAACCGCATATATCATTGGTAGGCGGTCGCACACCTAACAAAAATAACCTAATTAATCCTCCTAACTATGTAGTAGGGTAAGTCAGGGTCGATCCCACAGAGACTATGGTTCACCTAAATTATCTAGACTCAAGTGATTACTAAGCAAGAATTAAACAGTGGTGAAATAACTATAAGCTAAAGTATGGAAAACTAGAAATAATTTAAAGAATATGAAAATTCAAATAACTAAAACATCCAAGATCAAGTATCACCACAATTACGATCGATGCAATTATATTTCTACCCCTAACATACGATTCCAATCAAATGGGGACAAGTAAACCCTAATCAATACCAAGGACCTCTCTCGAGTATCAATGGCTTCCCTAACATACAATCAAGCCTATTCTCATGGTATCATGCAAATTAAGGACATTAAACACTTTACTTCACATCCCAATTATCAACCCAACTATTTTCATGTTGAATCTCAAATCCTAAATTGATCTACCCAATTCCGTTTAAACCCAACTCTCGCTGTGATAGAAACAATGGAATAATAACAATACTAATTATCTCTAATCTAGTATTGGCATAATCACAATCAATTTAGCATAAGCAATTACAAAAGTCATTAGAGAATTTAAAGAATTAATTCATGCATCAATCATAATTGGGCTACCCTAGATCTTGGAATAAAGAATCTACTCACTCATAATGAAATAAACAATAACAAAAATAATTAAAGAAAACATAATTAAGAAATAAAAGATGAAAAGAAAATACCGAATCTTGAATTGAATGGAAAACGGAAAGTAGAAATCTTGAATCTTGAATTACAAAAGCAAAACAAATTAATGGAGAGACTAGGTTTTTAACACTGTAAAACTAGAGACTAATAAAAACTTATTTATGAAATAATACAATACTTAGTGTATTTATATTACTAGAAAGATAATAAAACGCTAAAAAGACCTTGGCGCATAATTCTCCCAGGAGGCACGGACGTGCCTCTGATCGAGTGCAAACTTCCTTGGCTTTTGACTTCCAGGCATGGACGTGCCTATTCTGGGCACGAACGTGCCTCTTGACGAGTGTAATTCTGTAGTCTTGGGCACGGACGTGCCCCTACTAGGCACGGACGTGCCTAATGTCGAAGTTCATAGCTGTGTAAACTGACTTGGAGGCATGGAAGTGCCTCAGCTAGGCACGGACGTGCCTCACTCTAAAAGTCCTTAAATAGCTCGTTCTTCAATCAACAAGCCTCGTGAAGGTTCGTGGGCCTCGGTTTAGCTTCGTAACTTCGTAAAATATCCAATTTAGCTTCGTAATCCCGAAATACATCAAAAACAACAAAACTACCCATAAAAGCATCGAAACATCGAAACTAAACCAAATTGCACCAAAATAGACTAAAACACTCGACTAAGCTGATAAAACCAACTAAAAATAAGCTAACAAATATGCACAAAACACGACTTACCAATCATATCCTTTTATAAATAAATTATATAGTTTGATTATTAAATATCCTTAAACACATATATTATATCCTCAATAGCTGATAAACTTAAACAAACCTACCTCAACTTAAAATCATTGAAAACAAACCTTGAAACACATAATCCTCAATTATATTAAGAAAACTAAATCCTCACTCATATGTATCATATCCTATTATGAATACACTGTGTCATTTAAATCAGTTTTACAAACCTACCTCAACTTAAAAAAAAAAGCGCGGGTTTTATGCCCGACCAAAACAAGCTTGTGGGCTTATATATATTAAAAAAAACCTAGGTTTTCACGCCAATTCTCATTTTTTTTTCAAAAAAATCAAGAGCAAAATGAAATATCGATGGAAGAAAACTCAACAAATTATTGACAAAATGAATCAAATGATCAACAAATGCCAAAAAAAAAAATCAACAGAATGAATCAGTTTCACCGAATTTTTCTGCATCAACGTCAAAAAATTATAGAAGCTTGATTGAAGAAAATGAAGCAAATGCTCCGGAAATTCAATCAAATGCTAAACAAGCACAAAATGATCCTGAAAAAGTATCAATTTCTCATAATGAATCTACTGTAACATATGAAAAAATAGGTATTTTGATCTAAATTTTTTGCTTCATTTGAAAATAGTATATTTTAATGTTCATAAGCGTCTAAAAATATATGTATTTTTATCTAAGAATAAAAAATGTAGGTAAAAAATAGAGCATTATATATACAACAAATCATATAATTTATAATAGAATAGATGATATCATCTTGAATATATATATGATATACGTTTGTTATCCTCCATAGAATAAATAATAACTTCAATACTACTTTTGATATCCTCCATACAATACATGAGAACCTCAATAATAATAATGATATAATAAATCCCTAGAGACTATGTCATAGAATAAAATGAGGATGTCATCCATACAAATAGAGATTATAATGCATAGAATAGAGGATATAATTCATAGAATAGAGGATATAATAATAGATAGAATAGAGGATATAATGCAAAAAATAGAGGATATAATACATAGAATAGACTATATCATAGATAGAATAGAGGATGTCATTCACATAAATTGAGGTTATAATGCGTAAAATAAAGGATATCATCAACTGCATATAGGATATCATTAATATTATATATTCTTGTAGACACCTGATTGAATCTCCCCAAAAACCAAACCCAGTGATGAGTACCTTTCACATTTTTAATTATCGAGTTAGGTGAAGAGTTGAAGAATCTCGTGAATTTCCTTTAGCTTTGACCATTTATAACCATTCTTAAAATGTTTTGAATTTCGTGTCTTTAAATCTAAAATCATTCATTTTATGT